TGACCAGTGCTGCCTGGCTTTCCTCAGGGCCAGCTTCTGATGGGAGGAGGTCTCCCTCATCATAGTTCAGAAGCACAGCGGAGGCTGTGGGGGAGGGGAGTGCTCTCTGGGACTCACATTGTCGCTGGGTTCAGGGCAGCAGCCTTCCACTGGCCATCTCTCCCCAGGAGTGACCCACCTGCGGTTCCAGCGGCCCCAGGGCTTTGCATACAAGTCAGGGCAGTGGGTGCGGATCGCCTGCCTGGCTCTAGGGACCACTGAGTACCATCCCTTCACACTGACCTCTGCACCCCATGAGGATACCCTCAGCCTGCACATCCGGGCAGCAGGGCCCTGGACTACTCGCCTCAGGGAGATCTACTCATCCCCGACGGGCGACAGATGTGCCAGATACCCGAAGGTGCCCAGACCCAGGCCAATTGTGTCACATGCTCCCACATTCCCTTAGCAGGCCTCGCAAGGGACTCCCTGCTGTGTTCCTCCCCACCCCCTATCCAGAGACTGGTTGTTCCAGATAATGCCACAAGCCCCTCACTCCATAAACCTATCTGCCTTTCCCTGCCTCTCATTTCTGGGTTTAGAACTATAGTGGCTGCCCAGCTTAACTCAAATCTACTCCCCTCTCTACAGCTGTACCTCGATGGACCATTTGGAGAGGGCCACCAGGAGTGGCATAAGTTTGAGGTGTCAGTGCTGGTGGGAGGGGGCATTGGGGTCACCCCCTTTGCTTCCATCCTCAAAGACCTGGTCTTCAAGTCATCAGTCAGCTGCCAAGTGTTCTGTAAGAAGGTGAGTGTTCCCTCTTCCCACTAGACCATGGCCCCTTCCTCCCCATCATGGTGTCCATCTGTGCCTCTCTCTCCTGCCTCTGTCCTTGGCCTCCCTGATCTGGGCAAGTTAGTCTAAAACCTGGGAGTGGGTCACAGGTGGGGACATATCCTCAGACCCTGAAGGACAGTCTTGGTTTGCTGATGCCTTCAGGCTCCTGCCTGGTTTACGAAGACTTCTGCCCTCAGTTATGGGACGCTCCACATAGGCATTGCTTCTGGGAGTCCCTGAAGGCAGGGTTGGAGTGGGTGAAGAAACCCATTTCCTCTTACAAAGGCGGCCAGCACTTGGGACATTGTTGAGCTGGGAGAGGGAGGGGCATACTTGGGGTGGGGCACAAATGAAACTGGCTCAGCTTTCGAGAGGAAGAGGAGGTGGCAAGGCAGGGCTGGTGGGCCAGGTTGGCCCCAAGAACACAGCCCGAGCCCTCAGGCCCCTCCACACTGGGTCCCTTCACCACAGCCTGGACCTGGTGGCAGGCCTCTGCTCGTCTCTCTGGGCCTGGCAGGTGAGTCAAGGGTTCCGGAATGCAGCGGGCAGAGGCCCAGCCCATAGGCTGTCAGCACTTGAAGGGTGACAGCTCCCCTCCTCTCCTCTGCCCATGCCAGTTCTGTCTTTGCTTCTTAACCCACAGGGCCCCACATCCCCCCCTCAGAAGCTGGGGAGGACTGCCCCCAGGGGAGCTTCCACCTCTGTTCTTACTTTGAACCTGTTCCTATCCACCTAGGCAGCTGGCTGGGTTGCCCTGAAGGCACTCTGAAAGGCCCCTCAGCCTCTAGGTGTATTGCAGCCTGCGCAGGCCCACTGGAGGGAGCAGTAGGACAGGCTCAGCCTGGGAAAGCTGCTTCCTGCCCCATAGGCCTTCAACTCTCAATCGCAAGGGACCTTTCCCATCGCTTCAGGCTCTTTCACTTCCAGCTCTGTGCCTTGGAGCAACTCCATCTGGGGCCTCAGACGCTGGCCCTGTGGTCCATACTCTCCATCTCCTCAGGCGGAGGTCAGAAGAGTTCTATCAGTATGGAGATCCCTGGGGCCTAGGGAGCCTGAGCTGAGCTGGGTCCTGAGTGCCAGCCTTGTGTCCCCAGATCTATTTCATCTGGGTGACGCGGACCCAGCGGCAGTTCGAGTGGCTGGCTGACATCATCCGGGAGGTGGAGGAGAATGACCACCAGGACCTAGTGTCTGTGCACATCTATATCACCCAGCTGGCAGAGAAGTTTGACCTCAGGACTACCATGCTGGTATGTCAAGGCTGGGTAGGCAGGGCAGGTGGGCCAGGGTCTGGGCTAGGAATTGACCCTGGCTGTGCCTGGCTGTGCTTTCTTCCACTCCTCCCTTCCCCAGTATATCTGTGAGCGGCACTTCCAGAAGGTGCTGAACCGGAGTCTGTTCACGGGTCTGCGCTCCATCACCCATTTTGGCCGCCCCCCCTTTGAGCCCTTCTTCAACTCCCTGCAGGAGGTCCACCCACAGGTCAGTTCCATCCCATATCCACTGTGGCCCACTTCCAGGTTATCATCTGGGGGCTGAGCAAATCTCCCAAACCTGCTCCATCAGGAAAGAAATCAGCGGCTGCTGAGAACCCATTCCCTGGGAGACTGGAAGGTTAACAAAATGGAAAAGGATGGGGAGGTGCTAAGGGAGGAGGCAGACAATAGGGACTTGCAACTTCTGAAGTCATGATGCGTTGCCCAGAAGGAAAAGCTCGATCACTGAGTTGGATGGGGCTACCGTCACCATGAATACTTAGCCAGCCCTCACCCTGGACGTGGAGCTAACCTTCACCACGAACACTGGGCTAGCCCTCCAGGAGACACTGAGCAGAGACACTGAGCTGCCCTCTCAACTTGAACATTGATTAGCCCCATCCCTATTAGAAACGCTGACCTAACACAAAGATTGAGCTAGACTTACACTGACCCAGCCCTCACCATGCATGGTATAAAACAGACCTTCATCTGGTGCACTGAATGACCCTCACTATGGGCTCTGGCTGGTCTTTAAATATGAACAGGGAGCTAGCTCTGCCTCTGAACGAACTAAGCTTCACGTCTCCTTCCTGCAATAGGTACGGAAGATTGGAGTGTTTAGCTGTGGCCCTCCTGGCATGACCAAGAATGTGGAAAAGGCCTGTCAGCTCATCAATAGGCAGGACCGGACTCATTTCTTCCACCATTATGAGAACTTCTAAGCCCCCACCCCAGCTGAGTAGAAGTTTGGGCCCAGACCTCATTTCTGTTTCTGGTTGCCTCGGTCTTCTCCCCCTTCCGGTCTCTCAGCTCTGACCCAAATGGCCATGATTAGTCACCATGGGTGGGCTCAGGGACCTCCAGGCCCAGAATGTGTCTCAGCCTGGAGAAATGGGAGGCACTGTCTAGGAGACAGAGCTTGGGAAGCAGGGGAACTAGTGGTTTGAGGCAAAGTGAAGTCTCTTCTTCAAGGCTAAAAAAACATCCCCTAAAAACCCTCAAAATACAGAGGGAGTGTGTGTGTATGTGGGTGTGTGAGTATAGGGTGTTGTGAGCCTACAGATGGAGTGGAGTGGGAGCACAGATGCTTGCACCTCCTCTGCTAGGCTCCCCACTTTCAGAAGGGTTGGCAAATGCCTTGGAGGAGGTAGAGGCTGGACCCATGGCAAGCAATTTACAGAAACCCCCTCAGCATCCCAGTCCAACAGCACAACTGATCTCTTTGAGCAAGTGCTGTAGTCAGACCCTGATACAATATCTATCTATGCAGTGCTTCTCCGCTCCTTTTTCCCTTCTCCAATAGTCTCCTTTGCAAATAAATCACCTTTATGCCTTCAGGGTTTCTTTATTCTGCCCCAGGAGGGGGTAGAGCATGAGCAGAGAAACACTCACCCAGCCAGCTCACCAGGCTGGTCCAGATCTCTGAGCTCAGTAGTATTCCCGAGTAAAGTTACAAGCTTTGGTTAAGTCTCCCAGCTAGACTCCTTCCCCAGCCTAGGAGTGCCCTTCCTGATGGAGGGCCCCTCAGTAGCTAGTGTGAGATCTCTGAAGCCAGATCAGGAGGGAGAGAGAGAGAGGGTGTGAGGGGTCCTAGGGGAGGTGGGCTGGGCAAAGGGGGGGGTGGGGGATAGGGCACAGTTGGGAGCCAGTCTGCCCGGCTTGCTCCAGGACTTCAGATACTCCTAGCCCACCTCTGAGCAATGGGAGAGTTGGGCATCTGTCCCTACACGGGTCTTCCAGGCAGCAAGATAACCGCAAGGAGATAGATGGGCACACCACCCAACCTTTTGGAGCCTGTTTTTCTCATCTGCAAGATGGCAGGTTGCTCTTCACGTTTATTAAAGATAGGATAATCCTTTAGGAGGGAACTTCTGAGTGTCCAAATTTCCAGTGATCTTTTCTATTGTCTCCTACATTTGCCAGATCACATATCCTCAATTTCGAGAAAATAGCCACGGGATTAGAAACTCCCAGTGTTCATACCACCCTCGGGAGTGAACGTTCTGGAGGGTTCTGGAAGAGGCTCTCAGGCTGCCCTCCCGGGGAAGCCGTGCCCCAGGGTGTCTGTCTTGGAGTTTCTGATCAGCCCGAGGGAGCAGGAGACCCGGCTGCAGCGGCCCACGGGGACTCCCAGGGGCTGGGCCCGCAGGCGTCGGCGGGTCCCGGCAGTGGGTACCGGCGAGGGCGAAGCCAGGGCCGCAGGCGG